AGCACACGTGCTTGTACTCCGCACAAGCGTGGCCTTGCAGCCCTTCACCCTCATCCGAACACCCATCTTGCTATATGCAGCCGCACGGGAATCAAAAGATTCGTAGAACGTTGTGTACGCAGACGCAGCAAGAGGAGGATCCCAATCCCGTTTAGGCCGCTCGGGCGCCGCAGCAGCGGGCCTCTTCAACGCGGCATTTGGCTCTGGGGGCGCCGGCGCGGCAGCAGGGCCCGCCGCAGGCGGTGCTGGCGGCGGTGGGGGCTGTGCCGGCACCGCGTCAGGTCTCACCGCAGGCTGCATCGAGTCCTCGACGCCAGCAGCAGCCGGACGGGCACGCAGAGGCAGAGGCCTCGCGACGGCAACGGAAAGGGACCTCGCGGGCATGCCCCCACGCAGGCGGAGATGCAAATCCAGAGCGCATTCATTTCGGATGTTGTAGTGCGACAGCGTGCACATGTCCTCCAGCTGCTGGCAAGCGAAAGACAAACTCGACATATGGCAGGGGAAGCCCGCGCTGCACTGCATCATCGTCTTCACAGTTTCGACGGTGTCGAAAGCATTGACGCGCAGGTCGACTGTGTCCCCCTCCCACGTGTTGACGTAGATTTGCATGCCCACCTGGGCGGTGGGAGTGAAGGGAAGAGGGGGGCGGGAGGGAAGGGTGGGGTGAAGGGGGGAGGGGGGCGGGAGGGGAAGATAACGTCGCCGTCGTCGTAACGCTCGTCGTCGTCGTCGTAACGCTCGTCATCGTAGTAACACTTGTCGTCGTCGCGACGCTCATCGTCGTCGAAACACTCTTCGTCGTCGTAGCGCTCGCAGTCGTCGTCGTCGTCGCCGCCGCCGCTGCTGCCGCCGCCGCCGCCGTCGTCGTCGTCGTCGTCGTCGTCGTCGTCGTCGTCTTCGTCGTCCTCGTCGTCGTCAGCGTCGTCGTCGTCGTCGTCGTCGTCAGCGTCGTCGGCGTCAGCGTCGTCGTCGTAGTAACCTCGTCGTAACGCTCGTCATCGTCGTAACGCTCGTCGTCGTAACGAGCAGGAGCAGGAGGATGAAGCAGGAGTAGGAGCAGGAGGAGGAGCAGGAGCAGCAGAGGGGCAGGGGCAGGAGCAGGAGGAGTAGGAGCAGGAGGAGGGGGATGAGGAAGAGGAGAGGGAGGAGGAACCTCGGGCCGGGCGTCGGGTTGGGCGTCGGGCTGGGCGTCGCCCGTCGCGGCGGCGGTGCCAGCGGACTGGTCCCGCGACACCTCGCAGGAGGAGCTGGCAGGATACCGCCGTGGAGAGGAGGAAGACGAAGAGGCATGATAATGATGATGATGATGATGATGATGATGATCATCGTCATCATCATCATCATCATCGTCGTCGTCTTGAGCATTACCGTAGTCGTCATGATCACCATCATCATCATCATCGTCTTGAGCATTATCGTATTCATCAGCATCGTCGGAGGGAGGATAGGGAGGAAGAGGATAGGGAGGAAGAGGAGGAGGGGGAGGAGGAGGAGCAAGAAAACATGATGAACATGATGATGATGAGTATGAGGAAGGGGAGGCCCCCGAGGAAGACAGTAGGATGAGTAGGAGGGGGAGGAGGCCGCGGCCCTCGGTCACCTGCCACTTGGTGCAGGCCGCGTCCTCGCGGAGGCAGGAGGAAGGAGTTAGGAGGAGGAAACAGGAGGAGGTAGGAGGAAGTGGAAGGAGGAGGGATGATGATGAGGAGGAGGTTGGAAGAGGCAGGAGGAGGTAGGAGGAGGTAGGAGAAGGAGGAAGAGGAGGAGGAGGAGGAGGAGGAGGAGGAGGAGGAGGAGGAGGAGGTACTGGATCCTGTACTGCCAAGTCCGACTCGGACTCGCGCAACGGGGAGCCCATGTAGAGCGCCCACTCGCCCCTGGCGGGGCTGGTCAAGCCGTCCCGGAAAAGCATGCCGATCGTCACCATCATGGCCAGACGACCGTTTGTGAACTCAGCCGACAGCTTGGATTGCGTCGCTGCGGCGTCCCTGGACATCAGCACCTTACGGCCGAAGTCGCCGGACAAGGCATCGGTGCCAGCAGATCGGTCCTGGGATAGTTCGACGACGACGAATGCAACGACGACGACGACGACGACGACGATGAGCAAGGTGGCGATCAGGAGGGGAAGGAGGAATAATGTGCGGAGAAGGAGGACGAGGAGGAGAGGGAGGAGGACCAGGAGGAAGAGGAGGAGGAGGAGGAGGAAGAAGGGAGGCCGAAGAGGAGTACGAAGAGTGAAAGACGAGGGACGGGGGAGCAGAATGATGGAGATGAGGAGGGATGCGGAGGACCTGCGGAGGTTGGAGGACGCCGAGGAAGAGGAAGATGACAGCATCATCATCAGCCTCATCATCATCGTCGTCATGATCATCAGCACCATCATCAGCCTCATAATCTTCAGAATCATCTTCATTATCACCATCAACATCAGCATCGTCATGATCATCATCATGATCATGATCATGATCATCATCATCATCTTCTTCACCAGCGTGGCAGAAGGGAGGGAGGTGGCAGAAAGGATATGAAAAGAGGGAAGTAGAGGTGCACATAGAGGGGGCAGGGATGGAGGGAGGAAGGGGTGGGTGGGATGGAACAGGGAGGGAAGGAGGACGGGAGGAAGAGGTGGAAGAGGTGCGGGGAATGGAGAGCGCCCAATCGCCTGGGCGGTACCTGCGAAGCCGTCCTGGAAGAACATACGCATGATCGCCGCCATAGCCAGACGACAGTTGGCGATGTCAGCCGCCGAGGTAGACAACTTCGCCACGGCGCCGCTGGAAGTGCCAGCGGACAGGTGCGGGCAAGGCGACAGGTACCCCGGCAGCTTGCCAGAGCTCTCCAGATGTGTGTAGCCCATAGTCGCCAACATACCCACGCGGCCGTGTGTCAGCTCTGTCAGGCTTCCGCGGGCGGAGTCCGCGAACAAACCAATGGGGTCCCAGAAACCATAGTTGTCGAGATCTGCCTGGTGCTGCCGTTGCTCCTCCAGCTCCTCCTGCTCCTCCTCCTCCTCCTCCTCCTCCTCCTCCTCCTCCTCCTCATCATCATCATCATGATTTTCCTGGTCATATTCCTCCTCCTCCTCCTCCCTCCTCCGTGGCCTCCCCTCCCCGTCCTCCTAATCCTGGCCTGGAACTGCGCGGCCTCGACGCGCAGCGAGGCGCGGTGCGCGTACTTGCGCTGCCCGCGCCGAGAAAAGGCCGCCCGCGCACGGGCAGCGATCCGAGCAAGCAAGCCGTGAACGCAGCTCGGGCCGACGCCCCAGCAACCGTCCTCCAGCTTGTCCTCCGAGCATGTCACGAAGACGCGGTCCTCCGTCATCTGCCACATGGCGGCGTCCGCGTCCTCGAGCTGCTGCTGCTGCCGCTGCTGGTCGTGGTGCTGGCCGCCGTGCTGGTTGGCGGCGCTGGTGCACTCGTGCTGTGGCGGGGCACGTCGCCGTCGCCGCCGCGCCACGGCCCACTCCAGCCCAGGAGGGGGGCCAGGGTCGGGCGGCAGTTCCATCACGCGGAGGTAGAGAGAGAGAGAGAGAGAGAGAGAGAGAGAGAGAGAGAGTGAGAGAGAGAGAGAGGCGGAGGCGCAAGGAAAGAGTTGGAAAGGGCTGAGAGCTAGGAGGCCTGGGGAGCCGGCGGCAGGTAGGCGCTGCCGACCCCCCAGACACCCCCCCAAAACGCTACTCGAGCCCGCCGCTACGACGATGATGGTGGTGATGGCGGCGATGACGATGATGCGACAGTCAAGCTTGTAATAAGGATGCGCGGCAAGGGTATGTAAGGATGCAAACCCCTTGGAAAATACGACACCCTTCTGGGGCGATGCGCGGTCAGCGCAAATGACACAGGATGGGCCGAAGAGGCAAGGATGCAAGGGCACCCTTCCAGTGCCACCAGTTGTTCGGCAATATCCGAGCTCCGTAAGATTCGAAGGCCATGCACGACCAGACCACGCACCCTCCAGCCACCCTTGACAAAGTAGCACGAAGACTCCTCGGAAGGAGGGCGAACTAGCAAAATGACGCCGTGGAATAAAACATGCGGAGCCTCTTCGCGGGGCTCTCCATCGACTGAAAGGCCATCGGCCCTCGTCATGACGGCCTCTCCCTCATCATCGTCCTCATCCTCCTCCGTCCTCCGTCCTCCTCTTCCTTGCCTTCCTCCTCCTCCTCCTCCTCCTCACATCAGCATCACCATCACCACAACCATCACCATCACCATCATCATCGTCACCGTCGTCGTCATCGTCGTCGTCATCGTCGTCATCATCATCATCATCATCGCCGTCGTCGTCATCATAACCACCATCATCACCACCACCATCATCATCATCGCCATCATCACCATCATCATCATCATCATCATCATCATCATCTCGTCATCATCATCATCATCATCATCGCCGTCGTCGTCATCATTACCACCATCATCACCACCACCATCATCATCATCGTCATCATCATCATCATCATCATCATCGCCATCGTCATCGTTAGTGTCATCATCATCATTATCATCATCCTTCCTCAGTTATTCGCCTTCCTGGTCCTCGTCCTTCCTCCTTTGTCCCCCAGGGGGCCCCAAGATGGCCTCAGGAGGCCCCAAGGCGGCCTCAGGAGGCCCCAAGGGGGCCTAAGGAGGCCCCAAGATGGCCTCAGGAGGCCCCAAGGGGGCCTAAGGAGGCCCCAAGATGGCCTCAGGAGGCCCCAAGGGGGCCTAAGGAGGCCCCAAGGGGGCCTAAGGAGGCCCCAAGATGGCCTCAGGAGGCCCCAAGGGGGCCTAAGGAGGCCCCAAGATGGCCTCAGGAGGCCCCAAGGGGGCCTCAGGAGGCCCCAAGATGGCCTCAGGAGGCCCCAAGGCGGCCTCAGGAGGCCCCAAGGGGGCCTAAGGAGGCCCCAAGATGGCCTCAGGAGGCCCCAAGGGGGCCTAAGGAGGCCCCAAGATGGCCTCAGGAGGCCCCAAGGGGGCCTAAGGAGCCCCAAGATGGCCTCAGGAGGCCCCAAGGGGGCCGAAGGAGGCCCCAAGATGGCCTCAGGAGGCCCCAAGGGGGCCGAAGGAGGCCACAAGATGGCCTCAGGAGGCCCCAAGGGGGCCGAAGGAGGCCACAAGGCGGCCGCGTCGGAGGTTCCAGGGTCCGTCGTCGGAGGGAACTCTGTAAAGCTTTTCAAAAGCTTCAAATGCTTCTGAAACGGATCGCCGGGAAAAAGTCGAGTTTGCCGGGAAAAAGAGTTTTTCCCCCCCGAAGGCGTGCCCATCAGGCCCTGGACGTTCTAGCTGACAATCACCGTCCGCAAGGCGCGAGCTGGGGCGGTTGCCTGGGGAAGCTCAATAGACGGCAGCGCCGCCTTCCAGGCACCATACAGCGAGTTCGCAGGAACCCCGCTGGCGAGCACTCCCATCCTCCGTTCCATCTCCCTGCACGCAGCACGCGCTGCCGCGTCCACCTTACTGTGCGCCTCGAGCACCTTGGGCACGCCCTCCAAGCGATAGGAGGGGCAAGCATCGAGCAACTCGCGAGCGTCGCGCCGGAGACACAAGGCGCGCCCCTTCCGCGCGCCTGGTGGGGTCTCCGGCAGGGGGCACCTGGCTAGTCGCTGCAACTCAGCCGCCGCGGCCTGT